GGGGGGGCAGGCGGGGTGGGGGGGGGGGGCCCCGCGGGGGGCGGGGCCGCTCATCGCTGGTCGGGTTCCGCCGGTGTCCCCCGCAGGTCGCCCACGTCCAGCCCTACCCCTCAGCGCCGAGCCCCCGCCGTGCCCCCAGCCCGGCCCGGGTCGCGGGGCCCTGCTCCTGGGCCTCCGCCTGCTGGATCCGCCCTGGGGGGGGCGCCCCCCGTGCCCTCCAGGCCGGGGGCTTCCCCTGACCCCTTCGGGCCTCCTCCCCAGGTGCCCTCGCGCCCCAACCGCGCCCCGCCTGGGGTCCCCAGGTGAGTAGGGGCAGGACACGGAGGGAGAGACGTGACCCAGAGGGAGGTGGAGTGGCCCCAGCAGCTGGCCTCTCCCTCCACCTCAGGCGCTGGGTTCGTGGCGCCAATGCCGAGAGCTGGGGGCTCTGCTCCCCAGGGGGCGCTGAGTCCCAGAGGTGGCAGTTTCTGGGGAGGGGGATCTGGGGCTCATCCCATGCGCCCCCTTCTTTCCCAGCACTTGCATGGCGCTTTCCTCTTTTCATTTTCTCTCCTGGCGTTCCACACACTGCATTCCTAAAACCTTCTCGCGCTCCCTCCTCCATCTCGTCCTCCATTCCCCTCTGAACTCCCGGGGCGCCTACCTCAGATCTCAGCTCCTCTCCTGGATCATGTGAATTTCTTCAGTTACATTCAGGGCTATCTTGATGACCCACTTCCCAGCCCTGACTCTTGTCCTAGGGTGGTGTCCAGATTCTGACCCACAGCATCAGGCCAGGTTGTGATTGTATGACCAGCGAGATGTGTGATGTGCGTGTGGGCGTGCACACGGGTGTGAATGTGAGAGTGGCACCTAGGCCTGGTGTCGACAGGAAACAACCAGTGAAGGGGTCTGGGAGTCATGGGCAGTCTGCTGGTCTGGACCCATATGATGCATGTAGAGGGTAAGGGGCAGGGAAGTGAAGGCCACCCCACTGCCAGAGGTTTCCAGGGAAAAGGATTTTACTTCGTCCTTTGGCTTTCCATCTTGATCTATGACCCACTTTTCAGGAAGTTCAGTCTAGTATCTGACTCAGTCTGCCCTGTTTCCACTGGCCAGTCTCTGAGGAAAAACAGATAATCAGACCAATAGCATCTTTTTAGGTGTCCAGATGGCTGGAGGGTAGGGCTGGGGGTCTAGCCCCCATACACCAAACAAGGCAGGGATGGGCCTGTTCCATGGGGCTCTGTTGACCAAAGCAGGTAGGGTAAAGGCAGGCAGCATGCCATGGGGCAGGAGCTGGACTAGGGGGAGTCCAGATATGCTGGTTCATCTGGCCTTTTAGGCAAGTTGTTTTCCCTCCCAGGGCTTCAGTTTCTTTTCTTCCAAATGATAAGTGCCCTGCCATTTTCCCAGGGCAGGGTCAGATCAAGGGAGACGATGGTCATTGGGATGCTCTATTAATGGCAAATCTGGCTGTAGGGTGGGGCAGTTAGATGACCTCCGAAGCCAGAAGAGATTGATTGAGACTCGATTTATTGGGAGCCATGGAAGGCACTTGGGCAGAGAAGTGACAGCTGGACCTAGAATGCAAGCCCTGTCCCTTACGGAGCAGTGACCCTCTCAACACTCCAGGCACAAGTGTGCAGGGAGCTGGTGCAAAGGCCTTCTGTGTGCCGGCAAGCTTCTGTGTTGTGACAGCCCACGCGTGTGCTTCAGTGTGCCGAGTGGCTGCATGTCCCAGATCTGTGCTGCACGTACTGGCCAGTGAGGGTGCTGGGCACAGGGAGGTGAGGGAGGGGTGTATGCGTGTTTGTGAGCATGGGTGTTAGCGTGTGCATGCAGGGCCTTGGGGCCTCACAGCATGTGTGTGCACGCCCGGGCGTTTGCGTGTGTGTGTCCCCTACCCTCAGGCCTGGCCCACCTGTGTGTGTGAACTGCCCTGTTGATTTCGTGCTGTCTTTCAGAATCACTATCAGTGACCCCTGAGGAGTGTCAGCCACGGTAGGTTCTGCTAAGTCTGCTGCATGAACAGTGTCTGTCCTCCCTGCTGCACCAGCTCCACACTGAGGGCGCATCGGGACCTGGGAAGCAGGCCCCTCCCTCTCCCTTCTGCAGCTCCAGACTCCCTCTTCCTGTCCTCTGCCAGCTGGCTCTCTCACCTCACTTCCCAGTGAGCCTCGGGACTCAGCGCCACTGCCCGGGGTCTCCCTGGCTGAGCCAAGGGCTCTTGGGACAGGCTTCCTGCCGGAGCTGGCAGATGTGGGTGCTCTCTAGCGCTGTCAGACACTAGACTCATGGTTCAGTGTAGGGACTGGGAACTTAAGAGGGTGTGTGTGTGGCTGGCCTCCAAGTGGGGGCTAGAAGCTTTTGAACTTCATCTTGTGGGTGCCACACACATACCCAATCTGCACTGTGTTGCAGAGGTAGAGCATCCAGCTCCCATCCTGGGGGTCCACCACAGGGGAAGCATGGCAGTTGGACATGAATGGAGCCAAGACTCTGGCTGGTTGATTTCAGAAAGCCTAGGAGCCTTAGACAGTCTCAGCCCATGGTGCAGCTCACAGGCAAGGCAAAGACACACAGCCCCTTTTCCTTCTTCTTTGACTTTGTGCACCTGTGACGGAAGGCGTGTCCTCAGCCCCAGATTCAGCACCACATCCAGACCACAGGCTCCTCTACTTGGCCTGTTGCTCTCAGGGATGACCTGTCTTTTAGCCAAGGCCATGGGCAGTGTCCGTTGACTAAGGAAGTCAGCTTCTCTGAGTTCTGTCTGGGCACAGAATTCTCCCAGTGACCCTGACCCAACTCTTCCCCAGCCATTGACGCTCTCTTCTGCTTTTCCCCAGCAGGAAGGGCCCAGCCTCACCTACGCGACCTGCAGCCCCCCGACCAGCGGAGGCTCCCCTCTTAGACTTATAAGTCTGTAGCCACAGGCATCGGCTGCCTGTCTCCCAGCCTCCCCAGGGTCCCCTCAGAGGACTCCTGGGCTTTCTGACCACCTGAGGGGCCTCCAGCACTCCCTCCAGCCATTCCCTTTAGCTTCCTCCTCCTGCCTCACGGCTGTCACACGGGACTCCCTCAAACTAGGGGTGGCCCTGGGCCAGTGGGATGGGAGAGTGACCAGAGAAAAGGGAGGCCCTGTGGGTGCACTGCCTGGGTGGTGTGTGAGAGGCCATGTGTGGGGCAAGAGAGGGCCACCCAGCCTCTGCCCAGACTACCTGCTAGCTATGGCCCAGCTCCCTCTGGTGCCTCCCACCTTCCCTTTTCCATTCATCAGCTGTCCGTCCACCTCTCTTCCAGAAACCCTGCCTGTCCCCACTCCTGCCTGTCCCCTCTGCCTCTGTTGGAGGTGGCTGCTTTTGCCTTACCAGCTCTCCTTCCTTTTCTCTTTCCTATTCTCTTGGCTTCCTCTCCAACTGCCAGCCGATCGGGTCAGGCAAGTCCGTCCCGTCCTGAGAGCCCCAGGCCCCCCTTCGACCTCTAACCAGATCCCTCCTACTCCTCGGAGACCTCCCTTACCAAGCCTGCCTGGACAGCTGTTCTGTGACTTGACAGTGGCTCCCCTGGTCCCAAAGCGTCCCCTTCATCTGTGACTTAGTCTATTGTAGTGGTGAGCTGACACATCCAGGTGTGATGTTGGTGAAAACTTGTGTCCCTCTGTGGAATTGCTCCTGCGACATTCTATAAATATCTATAAATATCCATATATGTATATATATATATATACACATATGGCTGACACAGCCTCACCTGTAGCGTTGGAAATCAACCACCCTGCTGTCCTTGTGGCCCTGCTACAAAGGAACGCTGTCACCCTGGCATCCCCCTTCCAGTGTGCCACCTCCAGTGAGTGAGCTTCCCTGTCCTCTTGGTGTGTGGACAGCCAGCCCCTTAGCCATCCCTCACCCCACAGCATGGGGGTGCTGCACTGGCAGCTGTGTGCGTCTCTGATCACCACCAGTCTTGCTGTCTCAGCTGAGAATAAAACCCATTTCTGGATGATGGGGAACAGTGTGTCATCTGCTGGTTCGTGTCTCTGTGGAGCTGCTGGGGAGGGGAAAGTTTAAACACTGGGTGCAGGCTAAGGAAGGGCCCTTGCAGGGGTGCTGTAAGGCCTTGGAAAGCACCTGGAGGTTAGCAGGTCCTCATCCTACAAATTGAGCTTCCACCACTGGGGATAGGACCATGGACTCAGCATGGAGGGTGGGCATGGGCGGGGGTCTTCAGTCTGAAGGAAAACAGGAACAGGCCCCGTACGTGGACAGGCCTGGGGAGCAGGGGGAATAGAATGGGAGAGTCCTGGCCTGGAAGTTGGCACCCTTAGGTGCTGCACCTGGCGTTCCATCCACACCCTAGATCAGGCTTGACTCTGTTGCCTATTAGGGAAGGTCTGCCCATTTCTAAGTGGCACTCTAACAGGAATCTCCAGGCTTCAAAAAGCAGTGTACAGGTCCTGGAGACTGGGAAGCCCCACTGGGCACTTTAGAGGGAGGCTTCAACACAGGCCAGCAGCCTGCCCTCTGCTGGCAAGACACACTCTCTGCTAAGTGCGAACCTGAGGCTAATGGCAGGGCAGTGACAGAAACAACACCCAAGGCCCAGCAGTATGGCTAAATCCATTTATTCACAAGTAAAAAGCAAAATAAAGAGGAGCCGCATCAGCAGGGTGCTACCACCCCGTCTTTGCCTCCCTTCCTCTGTCCTGTTCTACCAATAAATAAATTTCCCAGCCCCAAATAATTATTAGAACCTCCTCCCCACTTGCCAGCTCCAACCTCCACTATGATACAGGGGGTGTCCCTACCCCGGAATATACAAAATGGTACACAGGTACAATATGTACACCGGGGGAGGGGAAGCCCACCCCCCAACAGCCTCTGCCCTGCCTGGCATACAGTTACCCACATTATCATAAGGCCTGAGAGAATGGTACCCACTGCCCTGCCCTGCCCTGCCCAAAGTGCCTCTAAGATGGAAGCCCTCCTGAGTAGGATGCCTACCTGGCCTACGGTTAGCCTAGGGACCCATAAAAATGCTGCCCAGTCCCACTGCCCTAAAGTGCCTCTAAGAAGATGGGCGTCAGTCTGGGGATGTGCGGGGCCCTGGGTTCCATCCCCAGCATCACCACAGAAAAGAAAAAGGTAGTAGTGCTGGGGATGTAAATCAGTTGGTAGAGCGCTTGCCTAGCAGTGCATGAAACTGGGCATGGTATACAGTGAGGCAGGAGAAGTGGAAGCTCAAATTGTAGTGAGTTGAAGGCCAGCCTGGGACACAGGAAACCCTATCTCAAGAAAAAAGCAAATGGGAGGAGAGATGGATAGAAAGTTAGGAGTCCCACTGATTGCAAACATGCCAGTGCCAGCCTGAGCTGCAGCTGGCCTGAGGGCTGCCCAGCTGTTCTGCCTGAGTGCCTTGAGCAGGGATTGAGGCCCTCCAGATGAAAAACAGCTTGGTGAGAAAGCCACCGGGGGTTCTGTTCATCCAGAGAAGCAGGCTGTTCAATCACCGATTCTCTGCTCTTGTTCTCTAACAGGAGTTTAGAAAGTAAAGCAGCCCTGGTCAAGATGGCAAAGGACCTATACATACCTATTTGTATCTGCCATTAAGATAGGAGGGTCTGATCCTTTGTTTTTTCAGTCTCTTGTAGTCCAGGCTGGCCTTACTAGGTAGATGAGGATGACCTTGAACTTCTGATTCTCTTTGCCTCCACCTCCCAAGTGCTGGGATTACAGGTGTAATCCCAGTTCAAGAGGTGCTAGGGATCAAACTCAGGGTTTTGTGCATGCTAGGCAAGCCCTGTGCCAACTGAGCTGCCTCCTCAACCCCGAGGGGGTCTGGGTCTTGCTACCATAAGGATAAAAAAGATGACTGAGAAGGGACTGGGTTGGGGCAGAACCTTTGGCTGCCCTTCTCGAGGCTTTGGCATCAGTCTTTTAGACAACCATGATCTTCACTTCGTCATTCTCATCAGCACGGTAGAAAAAGGGGATGCAGGGGTTGCTGCCCAGGCCTGGCCGTTCCCGGGGGTTCTGAATCTCACGGAGCAGCTGCATGATCTGCTGTGCAGTAGGGTTCTCAAGGGGAGTGGGTGCCCCAGCTTCTCCTTGTGCAGGGTCCACATTGTCAGCAAGGCTTACCTCCCTGAGATCTTCAGAGAGAGAAAGGGTCATGGCTCTGTATGCCTTGAAAGTCTTCTCCTTTGGACCTGCTCAAATCCACCTGCCTGTCCAAGCCAAGGGCTCTACTCACCACCTTGCTGGTCAGCAGCTCCAAATTCCTGAGTGCCTGCAGGCTCTGGGGTAGGCACATCGACAGGGTTCTGAGCAACTGCGAGGAACTTGCCCTGCCATTCATTGCGCTCGTTCACAAGCCTCAACACCAGCTCCTGCAGCTCCAGCAGCTTTATCTGGAGGAGAGGCACTTAGTGTGGGCGCCAGCCTGGCCTAGCCAGACGCAGACCACAGAGGTGTCAGGGCCTTACCTTCATCTCCTCCTTGTCCTGGGCCAGTCGGCTGATGTACTCCTCCTTCTCCAGGTGCCGCGCCTTTAGCACTGCCCTCTGGTTTTGGTAGAGGGCAATGTACTCTCCTGTGGGGATGATAGGCGGGTGGACAGTGCTCAGACACGAAGGCTCCCCAGATCCACCCCATGTGCAGCCCCTGCTGCCTTAGGCTGGGCTCCACCTCACCAATGGTGTCTGTCTCTCCAGAGAGTTGGATACAGCAATGTTCAAGTTCCTCCACCCGCTCTTTGAGCTCTACTTTCTCCTGCATGACCTCCAGGAAGCGGCTCTGGAGCCAAGATAGATGTCTCAGGGCTCAGGAGCCCTGTCTGGTCCCATTCTGCCCAGCCCCTGTGAGAAAGACACACTCACCTGCAGCTTCTCCATGGCTACCTCTAGGGCCTGGTGGCTCTCCCCAGACACAGAGTCACCTGGACTCCCGGGGGCCACAGCCTCCTTCTCCAGCTTGCTCTGAGCTGGGGATGCCAGATGAGCCAGACTCCGGCAACGTGCCTTCTGCTCCCTCAGCTGCCCACGGAGCCGGGCCTGCTCTTCCTCAGCACTGGCTATAGCTGTATTAAAGAATGCCACCTGCACACAAGACAGGGTGTATTTTGGGGCAAATGTTCAGGGCCAAGGGGGCAAGGAGGTAGAGGTAAACCCTTCCCCTCACCTCAGCAGTACACTTGTTCCCAGATGGACAGGTGCCTGACCCCTGGTTCCCAGGAAAGGTGTGACGATCAAGAGAAATCAGAGGGCATGGAAGCAAGGTCTCAGTGTATTCAAAGGGACCAGAGTTAGGGAGGGTGGGAAAGAAGGGGCAGGGCACAGCCCAGCTCACCATGGCCTCTCGACTGTCTAGGTCCTCTGGGATGGTCAGACTGGGCCGGGGAGCTTCCTCATCAAGCTCCTCATGGTCCTCTTCTCCTGGGGGCAGACAGTAGATTGTCTCCTCTGGCAACCCCAGTAGGCAAGGCAGAGTGGACCAGAAGAAACCAAGATCCCACCTCTGTGCCCACACAGTGCACCCCAAGGCCAGCCACTGCCTGGAAACATGCAGCCATTTTTAAAGCCTCTCCAAACTTTATTCTGCTAAGGGTCACTCAGTATTCTTACCTTCCCCAGGGAGAGCCAGGAGGCTCAGCTGGGCCTGGAGCTGCTGGTTTTCCTGACTGGTAGCTTCCAGGCGCTCCTAAGGGGCCGGGAGAGAGTCAGAAGGTACAGAGCCGACCAGGTCCTCCCACTGGGGCGCAGCCTCAGCAGCTGCCTCACCTGGACCTCCTGCAACTCCTGGCGGGCGATCTCAGCTGCCATCTTGCCCTGCACCTCCTCATGCTGCAATTGGTCCATGAGCTGCGTTTGCAGCAGAAGCTGCTTGTGCAATGCCTCCTTCTCAGAGGTCAGTTGCTGATAGGCAGCCACGTGCTGCTGATAGGCGGCAGCGTACTGCTGCAGGTGGGACAGGCACTGATCTCGCTGTTCCTGCAGACCCCGAGCTTCTTGGCTCTTCAGCTCCACCTGCAGGAAGGCCTGGCATGAGGGCAGGCAGTGGCTGGCTTCCACATCTGAGCCCATAAATGAGAGGGTCACAAAGCTCAGTCTCCACACCCAGCCTCACACTCCACAACCTTCCTTACCACTTTAGGCCCCAGAACATGGAAAAGCAGTTGGGGCCAACCCACATCTGCTCAGTGCAAACTACTCGAACCCAATAATTTGTACATATTTCTCATTTAATCCTTAATACCTCTACAAGGAAACTGCTAATCTTTTAAATTCAGTGACATGAAGTATTTGAACAGTGATTAACCAGGAGACTTGATTCCAGCCTGAACCCAGAGCCTTACAGAACCACCCCTGACCTACGATGAAGAGTCTCCTGGCCTGCAGCATGGATGCAGAGCAGGCCAGGCCTACCCACCACTAATAGAGAAATAGTCACAGGCTAATCTGAAGAACTCTGGGGGTGCCTGTCCCCGAGGCTGCAGCTGATCTGTGATGGGCCTTGCACCTCCCCTCCCCAGAGTCGTGCCTGTCTCCAAGGTGGCATCACACGGGGCAGGCCTTACCGTCTCCTTCAGCTCTCCTAGCTTCTCCTGCAGCTGCCCCAGCTTCTTGGCCAGCTCTTTCTTGACATGCTGCTCTGACTGCAGTGCACTGGTAATCTCCATGTTCTCATTGGTCTGTCCAAAAGCAGCAGTCAGCATACCTAGTATGGCTGGGACCCCCAGACCTGGGTGTGCACCTTCTCCCATAGAGCAGGGAAGGCTGGAGAACCATCCCCACACCCCTCAGGGCTCTGGCTCACAAGGTGCCTCCACACCTCATTTTATGTGAGGTCGACAGCAGCCTGTTTCTTGGGGGACCGACCAGAAGGGGTGTGTCACCCTGTCTGTGAGGGGCTGACTACGCACCAGCCTAACAAAGCCGTTCTGCAGCTCGGCTAGCTGCTCCTTGAGCTCTCGGTTCTGTGAGAGCGCTCTGCTGATGGTGGTGCGGTCGCTCTGCATGCTCTCCAGGATCTGCTTGCGCTCCTCTGCCTGCTCGCTCCAGCGCTCGGCTGCCCGCTCCAGCTGCAGCAGTCGTTCCTCCTGCTCCCGGTTCAGGTGGCTCAGACTCTCGTTGTCCTGCACCTGGGCACGCAGCTGTCCCGTCAAGCTGTCCAGTTCCTTCTGCAGCCGCTCCACCTCTGCCTTTAGCCACTCTTCCACCTCAGAGGGCCCTGCTGGAGGCTCTGGAGCAGGAGGCTCTTCTGGGAAAATAAGAACACACATGAAGGGGATTGGCCTCTGGCTTCTCAGGCCTCTGTTGTCAGCTCTTGAGTCAGGCTCCCTGCCCAAGACTTGGCTTCCTGACTGTCAGGGTCTCATACTCAGATGAGGGTGTTTCAAGCCACTTCCTAGTATTTTTTGGTCTTTTTGAGACAGGGTCTCCCTGTAGCCCCAGCTGACCTGGAACTCACTATGTAGACCAGGCTGGCCTTGAACTCACAGAGATCCGCCTGCCTCTGCCTCCCGAGTGCTGGGATTAAAGGTGTGCACCGCCACGTCCAGCTGCCATTCCACTTTGTACATGAGAACATGGAGGCTTGACTTGTCATGACTTGCCACCTCCTGGCACAGACCCCTTTCCCTCTATTACAATGCCCTGCATCCATCTGTCTCACTGGCAGTTGAAGCCACCCTCACAGCCCCTGGACCCACTCCTGCTCTCAGGTCACCCTTGCCCCACTCACCCATCTGGCTTCTGAGTTCAGCCAAGCTGGTCTCCAGCTCCTGGACCTGACTTTCTCTATGCTCCTTTTCCTCCTTCAATGTGTGCACCTGCCCAAGGTAGAGGGAAAGAGCACTGGCCCCTCTTGGTCCACCCTCCATAAAACCAAAACACATCACCCCTCCAGCTGTACTCCACTGACACCCAGAAAGACACGGGAGCCCAGAGCCAGGCCTCACCTGCTCCGCCATGCACTGCATCCTCTGCTGCCACATGGCACTCTCCCCTTTGAGGCTCTCTGCATACTGGTCTCTCTCTATCTGGAGCTGTTTCAGTGACTCCCTCAGCTGCATAGTCAGTGCACAAGTTAGGAAGGGCTGTCACTGGTCCTTATCTGCTTCAGGCCACACTGGGGGTCATGTTCTCCCATCCCTCTGCAAAATCTTACCTGGCCCACATGGGTCTCCAGCTGTGCCCGCTCCTCCATGGCATGCTGTAATTGCTGGCTGCTATCAGAGGCCTCAGACTGGCTAGAGAACTGCATGAGGGAACCAAGTTTAGATCTGGGGAGCAAATGCTGTGTCACACAATGCTCCCCCAAGTGTGAGCGAGGATCAGTTTACAGTTTGGTCAATGTCATGTAAGAAAAGGACCAGAAGAGGTGAACAGACTGCCACGCTAGCCATGGGAATGAAAAAGAATGATGACTTTTTGACCAGGCATGGTGGCTTATACCTGCAATCTCAGCATTTAGGAGGCTAAGGTAGGAACACCATGAATTCAGAACCAGTCAGGTCATCTTGGGCTACAGAGACCCTGCCTCAAAATCAAACGACAAAAAACAAAAAAACAAAACAAACAGGTACAGTAGAGGCAGAGACAGGCAGCTCTGTCAGTTCAAGGCCAGCCCTGGTACATAGCAAGTTCTAAGCCAGCCAGGGCTATTTAATGAGACTGTCTCAAAAAATGATTAAAAAAAAACAAAACAGAAAAACGGGGGGGGGCTGGAGAGATGGCTCAGCAGTTAAGAGCACTGGCTACTGTTGCAGAAGACCCTGGTTTCGTTCCTGGCACCCACATAGTAGCTAACAACCATCCGTAACTCCAGTTCCAGGGGATCCAATGCCCTCTTCTGACCTCCTTGCACACTAGGTAACATGGTTGCACTTACATACATGCAGGCAATGTACTCATACACATTAAAAATAATGAAAAATGTTAAGAGAAAAAGGAAAAAAGAAGAACAAAAGGTGATACTTAAGCCATATCACCATCACCGAGGTTCTGATCCCACAGATGTGATCAGGCTCCAGCATTAAGCAGTGACTGGAGAATTCTATGGCAGGACCAGGAGGAGGATCGAAACCTCCCAGCACTGGGCTGGAAGTCACCCGCAATGATGCTGGAGACGGTGTGGTGTGTGCACCTGGCCTCAGCAGCCCAGGCTGTGCCTTCTCACCTGTTGCAGCAGGAGCTCAGACATCTCCAACTTCTTCTGCAGCTCCTCCACCCCAGACTGCGTAGCTGCCTTCTCTGCCACTAGGACTCGAAGTTTCTCTTCCAGTTCTGAGTTCTGCTGCCTCAGGTCCTCGTTATTTTTGCTGTGGCCAGAGGCAGAGAAAGATGGAATGAACCAAGAACAGAAAGACCCACTTTGGAGACTGACCCATAAGCCTTGCCACACAGCCACAGAAAAATGCATGTGAAGGGACATGAGGAACTGAGTCACACGTGACAGGCCACAGAGAGGATGTGAGCTACTTGAGGCCACCCTGTAATTCAGAAGCATGGCTGGGACTAGAGCACAGCTCCACATGCCCAAACCTGTCCCCTCTGACCTCCCTCCATTCCACACACAAAGGCTCCCAAACCACTCAGCTTCCTTCCCCTCTCACTTGTTCTTGTACAACTCCAGCTTGAGGGTGTCTCGCTCTTTGCTTAGGTCCTTGTTGCACTGCAAATAAAGGGAATGGAGTCTGGATCTGGCAGACCGAAGAGGTAGCTGGTACAACACCAACAGTGCCAATAACCATTCCACAGTGGCACTCCCTCCCCCTCTACACAGCTGACATTTCTCCAAGGCATGTCTAAGCTCATGGTCTCATTTGTGTTTCTATGTGTTTGTTTTGAGATGGAGTCTCACAATCCAAGCTGGCCTCAATTGCGTGGGCTCAGATGATCCTCCTGCCTCAGCCTCCCCAACAGCTGGGACTAAAGGTCCATACCACCAGGCATAGCCTTCACGGTTTGTTTTTATTAATAATTACTTGTTTGAATTAATAATTATTGGGGATCAAACTTAAGTCTTTGTACAGGCCCGGCAATTGTTCTACCACTGACCTATAACCCCAGCCTTTTTTTTTTCGTTTTTAAACAGGGTAACTCAGGCTTACCTTGAATCCACAACCCTTCTGCTTCAGCCTCCCCAATGCTGAGATTACAGGCATGTATTACCATGCTCATTTATCTTGTTTGTTTTGGTTTTATGAGACAGGGTTCTCATGTAGATGGGGCTAGCCTTTAACTCCTGATCCTCCTGTCTCCACATCCTAAATGCTGGGATTACAGGTGTGAGCTACTACACCTGGCTCATTCATCTGTTTTTAATAACTCGTGGAATGGAACAGGTAGAGAGAGGAACTGAAACCTGAATGCAGCAGTACAAGGCTGTTTGTTTCCTCAGCTGAGGCAAGAGGATTCTGAGCTTAAAAAAAAAAAAAGTCACCCTTCCAGCATTGCCCAGAACTCTTGGTTGCTGTTGGTGATATTGCTGCTTTCTACGGAGTACTTCACCAGCACCAGGCTGACAATCCCATTCACTCTTCATACCTGCCATGGGAGTTACTGTTACTTCTACCGTTTAGGTGAAACATAGTGTATTAGAAGCAAAGTACTGGCCTAAAGTCACTTAGGCAGAGCTGGGAACTGAACACTCTGGGTGGTCTAAGTCTCTAGGCCCATTTCCCTACCCTGTGAGGATGAGATTGCAGACAGGAGGAGGAAATTAAACTTGTCTTTTGTTCACCTTCGTATGGATGGTCCATTTGCATAGTCCAAAACTCAGAAAGCATAGAAGCAAATGTCTCCCAGTCACCCCGTTCCCAACCCCAAGTTTATGAATCTTCTCAATACATGTTTCATGCATACTGCACACAAATATCCCCTCTCCACAAATAGTACCATACTAGGTTCTACGGAACCTTCAGAGCCCGAGCGTCATATCCCTTTCCTTAGCACTTGGCCAAGGCCACAGCCAGTTAAGGACATGGCAGGCACCTGCCTCTAGGTTCGGCCTCCAGTGCTCAGATCTGCACAATACTCCCCAAGTTGTACTGCAGCTGACTCACCCCAGGTTTCGTCTACCAAGTACACACCAAAAGCCAACAAGAAACAACCAGTGCTGTTTTCAGCAGCAAGACACTGGACCCTGCAGAAAAGCCCTTTAGGCTCACTCCACACCAAGAAGCTAGACTGCTTGTGGCAAGAGAGGTGACTGGCCTCACCCTGTCCACCTGTTTCTGCTGCGTGGACACAGCAGACAGAGTCCGCTCGAGCTCTCCCACACGCTGTCGGGAAGACTGCAGGCGATTGGCAAGATCTTCAGATTCTCCTGGAATGAGGTAGGTTGAAATGGAACCCCAAGAGCTCCCAGGTCTGCTAAGGAGTCAGGTGCAAGGCTGAAGGGGTGCCCGAGTCCTACCTGCTTTCTGCCTGGCTGCTTGCTGGGTGTGGGCCAGGGCTGTTTGTAATTCTGCCTTCTCAGACACCAGGATGCCTATGGTCTGAATGTGAACCTTTGGGAGGAAAGCCCACAAGTGCTGAGAGAAGGGAAAGAAATGCTCTTTGGAGGACGGGGCAGTGCACAGCCCACTCACCTGCAGCTGTTCCCTTAGAGCTCCTTGCTCCTTTGCCAATTTCTGCTCATAATCTTTCTTTTCCTATGGGCAGAAGGAAGCAGCAGCTCTTAGGGGTGAGGCTTCAACACACCAGCAAAGGACATGCCCCCAAAAAGCCACCTGTGGCTCAGGACAGGTCCACCAATGAGACGAGATTATCGGGGACCCTGTGGGGTGAGCCTTCTCCAAGCTAGAAGTGGGCAAGACAAGACCACTACTTCTAAGGCCTCCCTAACCCAAGCAGCCATGAAATGGGAAAACACAGAAACCATGTTACCTTTTCCAGCTGATCCAGAGTGTCTTGGTTCTGTTGTTTCTGTAGGAAGAGTCAAGGAAGGTTGACTGGGGCTGGCTCGTTCTATGCCATTCCCCAGACCAAGACAGGGCAGGAGGGTGGGGAAGGATAGGAAAAAAAGCATTCAGATCCCATGGGGACAGGAAGCAACAAACTCCTCAAGCTCCCAGGGAAATAGTCTGGGTTTTGGCTGCTTTCACTCACAGCTACATATCTGGAGGTCTGATCCTGGGTCCTCATTAAAGAACGACAACTCTAGAAACAGAGTTGGAGAAGTAGCCCACCCTCAGCCAGCGTGGGACTTAGAAGGGTGTGTTAATAACTGAGCATAACTGTCCTGCAGGCACAACCCAGACACAGGACTAAGGATAAGTAAGCTCTCTTCTCCCTGACTCTGATAGACCAGTGAGCCTTTAAACCCATGCCTCCTAGAGTGGAAAGAGGCCTGACACGCTCTAGTTCTGCCTCCACATGAAACTCAAGCCCAGGGAATGGCCTGGCAAAATCAAAGAGAGCAAATTAGGACTTGAGCAAGGGCAGGACTTGGGTGGCTGACAGCCAGTTGCGTTTGTGCTCCCTCTCACTAGCAGCACAAACCCCAGGACAAGTGGAGTAAGGTCTTAAGCAGGGTGTCTGGAGAACAGAGAAAAGGTGGGGAGCAGGGGAAAGGTGAGCCATGTGCTCTAGGTGCCTCTAGCTGAGACTGAGGCCCCAGGTTTCCCTTCCCCCTTGGTTCTAGGGGCCCCCAACCCCTTTCTTCAGCGCCCCAAGGGAAAACTGGATCCCAGGATTGACAGCAGGAATTGGGGACCCCACTGGACTCTTACCAATTCCTCTATCGTGCTACTGAGTTGTTTGTTTGTTACATAGCTGGAGTCCAGGGCTACTGCTAGCTCTTGGTACCGGCTCTGAGGCGCATGCAGAGAGGAGGAGGTGGAGGAGGATGGGGGAGAGGTAGAGAGAGCATCATTAGGGTTGGGGGGGGTGAGCTGTCTCATCTGGCAGCGGGCACCCAAGTCCCATTGGAGGAGATGGGTAGTAGGCTTTCAGGGTCACTGGGCCATGGTCCAAGGTCACTCACCTCCAGATCCTTCATGCTAGAAGATGTGAGGCCCTCCCCATTGATGTAGGACGTAGACTGGAAGAGACGAAACCTCATATAGCGACGTTCTGTCATTCTCAGTGTCTAATCCCTCCAACCTCCTAACTTCCACAACGACCAGAATCTGCTTTCCTGCCTGTGTGGCCCCGCCTCTCATGTCCCGCTGTGTAATTCCTCATGGTTCTTATCCCACCATCGCTCTCCTGCCAGGCAGTAGTCACCTGCACTTTCTGATCCAGGATCAAACCACGTCACCCACGGTGGTGCGGGTCCAAGCCTTCTCTGAATCTGACAAGAGGTTCTCCTGAATCTGTCTCCCGGGAACCCCTGCCTCGGTGACAAGAGGTTCTCCTGAATCTGCCTCCCGGAACCCCTGCCTCGGTGACAAGAGGTTCTCCTGAATCTGCCTCCCGGAACCCCTGCCTCGGTGACAAGAGGTTCTCCTGAATCTGCCTCCCGGAACCCCTGCCTCGGTGACAAGAGGTTCTCCTGAATCTGCCTCCCGGAACCCCTGCCTCGGTGACAAGAGGTTCTCCTGAATCTGCCTCCCGGAACCCCTGCCTCGGTGACAAGAGGTTCTCCTGAATCTGCCTCCCGGAACCCCTGCCTCGGTGACAAGAGGTTCTCCTGAATCTGCCTCCCGGGAACCCCTGCCTCGGTGACAAGAGGTTCTCCTGAATCTGCCTCCCGGGAACCCCTGCCTCGGTGACAAGAGGTTCTCCTGAATCTGCCTCCCGGGAACCCCTGCCTCGGTGATCATTCCCAGCGGTTTCCGGCCCCTCCACCTGCTTTGCTTTCTGGGCCCCTCCTGTGGTACCTCAGACACAAGACCATTGAGCTGTTGAGAAGGTTGTCGCAGGCTCTCAGTTGATGAGAAAGTGCTGAGGAAGGAGACACAGGGTCAGGGGTACAGGTGGCTCGATGGGAACAGCCTGCCCTGACTCCCTCAGCAGGGAACACTTACTTCGTCTCCTCCATGAGATTAGAGCAGCTGTCAGCATCGTGGCTCTGTTTGGGTTGAAACAAACCAGGTCATCGTTCAACTTCTGATGGTCACCCAGGAGGAGGTAAGCCACGCTCATCATCCCAATACCCTTCCCCGCAGTCTCCCCTGTCTTGGCCTCCCTATGCCAGACCCCAGGAGGAACACCTGACTGTGGGGACCCAGCTACCTGAAGAGAGAAGAGCATTTGGAGGTAGAGTCCTTTGGGAAGAAGGACAGAGCAAGCAGACAGGATGGCAACAGGCAAAAGGCACAAACCTGCGGAGACGCCATGCTAGTGAGCTCAGCATCAGGGGAAGGGACAACACCGAGAAACACAGTGTCATCATCGGCAGTTGGTGGTACAGGAGGAGTGAGGTCTGTGGGCGCCTGTCAGAACAGAGCAGGGGGTTAGGACATCATGCGGAGAGGTGCCTCACTGCCGTGGACGTGAGGGGGTGGGGCAGGAAGGGTAGTGCAGCCACAGTCACAGGACAGTCACACATGCTGGGCAGTCACACATGCTGGGGGCTACTGGGGTAGACACAGTCTGCCCAGGTCTCAGGCCACTTGGGAGCATTTTCAACGGCCAAAGCTCAAAGCAGGGACTGCAGGGCTTCCTTCCTAAACACCCCAAGGCCCTGTTCTCACTGGAGCTCTGACACGTGGCAGCCACAGTGGTAGAAATGCCCAAGTCAGGAGCCAGAGAGCTAGGCTTTCTCACCATGACCCTGACTGTGGGCCCCCCCTCGTGGGTGGACTCGTCACCATGGTGAATATAACCAATTTGCCCCTTTCCTTTTGCTTTCTGGTCCCCACCCCCACTCCAGCGCCCCAAGCACTGGCTGCATTTGTTGATTCAGAAAGCAGAGAACAACATCTGCCCTTTGGCTCCATCACACGACCTTCCTAGGAACAGCGAACAGCGTTAGTGACCAATCCCAGGATTCAGGACCTGGAGGCATGTGGAAGTCTTCCCATTTCCCCAACTGGAACTACCTGCTTGACCAGCTGTGCCCAGTCACTCCTCAGGCTCAGGCCTAACTCTCAGAACAAGTCTCTGGCTTATAGATCTTCCAACACCCACCAGGCCAGAGGGGCAGAGAACGGGAAAACAGAGAGAAGACTGCCAGGGAGCCCAGGCCTGCCCAGGGAAGCAGGTTTGGGGTGGAAGCCGCCATGCGTTTCTCCAGAGAGAGGGCTGCCTGCTTTCTGGAACTTTCAGTTCCAGCCTCTTGATACTCTCGTCGCCGTCCCTCTATTGAGCAAGTGCTACAGAGCCTTGGTGAACTAAGGATGAGCCTCACTCTTTGTAGCTGACCATGACCCTGGAATCCCATGTGTCTATTAGCTTTGAACACCCATAGGTGTTGCTTTGACAACACCTACAGTTGAATCTAATGGGGAAGAGCAGGGACACAGCAGCTTGTCAAGCATGTGCATCACGGGAGCCTGGCGCTACCAGCCACAGACCCTCCCAGGCTCTGGGTCCCTTGTGGCATCTTGGGAACATTCATCTCTAGGATTAGACATAGAAACACACAAGAGGAGCAAAAAAGTATTTTTCCTGAGCCGCTTTTTGTTTTCATTTTAGACAGGTTTGATCACCCTCTCTCTCTCAAGCCGAGGTTAGCTTCAAATGCGTTATGCAGCTCAGATTGCCTCAAACTTGAGATCCTTCTGCCTCAGCCTCCTAAGAGTAGGGATGACGGGGATGGACCACCATGCCCTGCCAGAGTACTTTTAAATAAACATAAACAATTTTGTGAGCAACCAAGCAACTCCCCACTGCTGAGACTTGGAGCTAAGCATGAAGTTCTTAAAGTGTTCAGAAATCCCTGCCATCTCTCCATCACTCCCCATTTCTGGACACATTACCAGCTCTGCTCAGGAGATGGCAATCACAGGCTTTTGTTCCCTAAGCAGAAAGCTTACATGGAAAGCCGTTACTGGAGATAGAGTTAAAATACACAGTCTTCATTTCTAGAATGCAGGGGCCTGAGTGTTCAGATTAGTGTTTTTCCAATGAGGAGACTGAGGCCCCCAACCTCCTGTGTGACTGACCCCTTAGCAGAGCAAAAGCCAAATATATGATTACAAGTTTCCTGTAGACCTACACCCACCCCCTACAGAGCTCCCTGAGCTGACAAACTACATCACAGCACCTGTGCAGACCAGAACACCCGGCAGGGATCAGCTTTGCTGACTGCAAAGGTGTCTCACTCCAGCTGACAGTCCTCACTCTGTTCCTCTCCCCATACCCAAGTCCAACAGAATGTAGCCCTGGCTCAGGCCACTCCCTCAGCTGGACAGAAGCCTGCTCCTCTGGCTTGGCAGATGTCCCTAGGGCATGCTAAATACAAAGTACTAAAATCACATCCAGAGCAGGCTATCTCCAAGTCCTATTGCACCTGGACTCCCTGTATCTCTGAAATGTCCCTGTCTGTGAGTGCACTGTTCCCTTGCTCCTCAGCTCTCCATGTGAGTGAACACGACCCACCTTTCATCTTCCAAGTATCCACAAATGCCCTTCTCCAGCCCCTAGTGCACTAGGAACCAATCTTTCCCTGGTTCAGCATGTGGAATGATGCCACATTAGGTATGCCAGAGGTCGCACAGCCCCCCTTGGCGTGCATCTTACCCTGTTCATCTAGTCTTGTGTTTGCTTGTTGTGGCCCAGACTAGCTTGGAACTTACCCACCTCTTGTCTCAAGTCTCCCACGTGCTGGGATTACAGGCATGTATCAGCCCTGGATGCTTCTATTTCTGCTACTGTATTAAAATTCCTTTGCTAAGAAGGCCCAATGACTTTTTAGAGAGATGGAAGGCAGAGCGTCCTGGTCACCCGTCAGTTGGTTGCCTTTACTTTTACAGTTAGTTCTTTAAAAAAAACATAGCCTCCATCCATGAAATTATAATGTAGATTCACCATCTCATAACCTTATGTTCTTAAGTTTCAAACCAAAATGAATAAAAAATAATCACAAACTTCTGTGGTCTACTAGTCTTTTGGAGACAGATGTCCAGAGGGCAAGGCCTGAAGGTGTTTTTGTCTTCATCTGCCCTAGTCTGACAGCACCATACTGGGCATTCATAAGCCCAAATCCCCACACCTGATCTGAAAGTTATTCCCCAATCAGCTTTAAGTTTCAAGGTGTGTCTCACCTTCTCCAAGATGAGAAATGATGTGGCGGAGGGGGGAAAAAATCAACCAAGCAGTTGGGGAAGCAGACACAGGGGACTGAGGGTTAATGGTAGCAACATAAAATAAGCCAGAGGCAGCAGGTCCCCCAAAGCAGAGAAGTCTCTGGGACATGCACAGCTGGGAGAGCAAGCCAGAGGGCATCTGGGCACTGCCTCACCTTCCTTTTGTCCAATGGGGGGAGCGCTACCCCATTGGAACGGTTAAGGTCGGACACCAACACCTTCAGAATGTCCTGAATCTACAGAAGGCGAGAAGGAAAAACAAGGGCAGGGGGAGAAAGAGACAAGCGGCTTAGAGCGAGGCAAGAAATTCAGAGAAGAAAGAAGAGACTGGTCCAGGGAAATGGAAAACTCTAGAGCAGAGAGCAACACCAGGGCCTATGCCATCCTCCAAGCAGCCACTGGCTGCCTTACCAAAGGCAGCCATCAAAGTCAATGACAGGTCAGTCATGAGTGATGCCGTCAGTTCACGTGACCAATGCAGCAACTCTTTAACACACACAAGACCCTTTCCTGAGGCTCAAGAAGTGGGGAGCATCTGGAAAGGCCCCAGAACCCCATTTCCACCTTCAAAACCAGACTCTTCATATAAGTCTTCACTTTTACTCAGGGGCTACAGCTAAAAATCAAGTTTACAAGGCACTGATCCAATCCAGTATCATCTTTTAAGATTAAAAAAAAAAAAAAAATTAAGTCAGGCCAAGCGTGATGGTACATGTCTTTAGTCCCAGCACTCGAGAGGCAGAGGCTCATGGGTCTCTGCAAGTTTGGGGCCAGCCTGGTCTACATAGTGAATTCCAGGCCATCCAAGGGCTACATAGTAAGACCCTGTCTCAAAAAAACCAAAACAAAAAATAAACAAAACAAAAACAGACACCAAAAACTAAGACGGGAAAACGGGATTTTCCTGAGGTAACCCAGCAAACTGATCATGAAGATGGACTGAAAAAAGATGGACTGAAAACTTAGATCCTCTCACTGAGCATGGTGGCGCACGCCTTTAATCCCAGCTCTAGGGAGGCAGAGGCAGGTGATCTCTGAGTTCAAGGTCAATCTGGACTACACAGCTACACAGCAAGTTCCACACCAGCTGTGGCTACAGGGAGACCCTGTCTCAAAAAGACCAAAAAACAAACAACAACAAAAAAAAAATCCCAAAACAAAAAAGCCTTTAGACTCTCTTCTGTTGCTGCCTTGGAAGAGGCTGGGGCAAGTACTGTTCCTGGCTTCTGCCCCTAAACTGAGAAAAATCAAACATCAACTATTGTTTAATCACTGTTAATGCCACACCAGGATCTCTACCAGAAAATTAATAAAAACCACCAATCACATTTAAACTTTATAAATACACATTAAACAATATTACCCCTATCTTTACACAACTTGTCCTAAATCTCATCATATTTCTGGCAGATGGAGAGGTGGAGATTCAAAACCAGGATTCATTTTTTTCTGTGCTGGGATCAAACCCAGGGTCCCATGCATGCAAGGCAAGCCCACTACCACTGAGGTATGCTCCCAGCCTTCAAAGCCACACCTTTTAACCAGGAACTGACAGTTCTTCCATACCAACCACAGCCCTCTACCGCCCTTTGCAGCCCCGTCCCCAGGAGCCTGACAGCCAACACTCACATCCTCAGGTGACTGACAATCATCAGCAGAGGGTCTCTCAGGACTACTGCCATTTTTAATCTTTTTCTTCTTCTTTGCCCCTGTGGGAACACCAGGGCTGTTCTTCTGCTGATATTCTCTCAGCTGTGGAAAAGAAAGCAGTGATCCTCCTGAAAGCCATTGACTGTGTTTACATCCTCCTCATGAAAACCACTTACCCTGTATTCATCTCCGGCTTATTGTGTTTTTTGTCATTTTTTTGGATTTTTTTTTTTTTGAGACAAAGTCTTACATAGCCCAGGCTGAACTCCAATTCACTATGTAGCTGAGGATGACCTTGAACTTCTTTCTGATCTTCTTGTCTGCACCTTCAAAAGTGCTAGGATTACAGGCATGTGTTATCACATCCAGTTTAAAAGGTGTTGGAGATCATGCCTAGAGCTTTATGCAAGCTAGGCAAGCACTCTACCAACTGAACTACATCCCAGACCCCTCCTAGAGAGTTTTCATAAAATACATACTGTCTCATGTAATGCCACCAACAGCCCTACAAGGTATTGTAACAACCACTTAAAGACTGAAAAAACACAGCCAGGCATGGTGGCACACGCCTTTAGTCCCAGCAATCAGGAGGCAGAGGCAGGCGGATCTCTCGGGAGTTCAAAGCCAGCCTGGTCTCCATAGTGAATCCAGGACAGCTGGGACTACAGGGAGACCCTGTGTCAAAAAGACTAATAAAAAAAAAAGGTCTTAGAGAGAGAGAGAGAGAGAGAGAGAGAGAGAGAGAGAGACTGAAGAAACAGCATGGCTAAGAATACTGGGAACGGAGCTCAGTAGAATACTTGACTAGCAGGAAGCCCTGTGCTCCAAGCCCAGCAACACACGCCCACACTCAGACTTACATACAAACATGGAATTTAAATTCAATCTTTTGATTCCCAGCTCTGGGGTTTGTAACCCTCAGGGGGAAAAAACTAGAGGTAAAGAAGAAAGAGTAAACATTTAGCTGGCAGGAACTAGCTGGGTGTGGTATCACCTATCTGTAATCCCAACACTTGGGAGAGGAAGGAGGAACAAGAACTTGAAGCCAACCTGGATTTACAGCACTATCCTGTCTCAGAAGAAAAAACCCACGGAAGCAAGAACTATATATTGAGGCTTAAAACTAGATATCGTCTGTCCCTTCCCTTTGAAGTAAAAAAATTATCTGTGTGTGCATGTGTAAGAGAGGAGAGAGAGGGAGAAGGAAGGGAGGGAGGGAGGGAAGGAGAGAAAAAGGGAGGGAGGGGTGAGGAGAGACTTTGTCATGGAGCACATGTAGAGGTCAGATGACAACCTCCGGTGTTGGTCCTTACCTTCCACTGCACACACCAGGCTAGCTGACCCTTGAGCTTCTAGGAACTCTCCTGTCTCTGCTTCCCATCTTGATATAGGAGAGCTGGGATTGGATGAATGCTACCGTGTAGGGTTTTATGTGAGTTCTAGGAATACAAACTCAAATCTTCTACTTTCACGGCAAGCACTTTAACCAATGAGCCATCTCCCTAGCCAAAGTATTGTTAGTACAACCCCAAGTCAATAGTTTCCTTTTTTGGCAATGCTGGAAATTGAACCTATTGCATCATGCATGAGACATAAGTACTCTATCACTGAGCCACATATAGCCCCATATACCATACATATATACACATATACCAGGCTGGCCTCAAACTCCATATGTGAAAAAGGATGACCTTGAACCCCTGATCCTCCTGCCTCTACCTCCTGAGTTCGTGGACTGCAGGCATGTATCACTATACCTAGTTTATGCAGTGTCGGGGATCCCACCCAGGGCCTCATACATGCTAGGCAAGCACTGTGCCAACTAAGCTGGATACTGAACCCAGGTTTTATGAATCCCATGTGAACCTGGGGCCTTGGGTGTTAGACAAACACCCTACCAACTTAGCTATACCCTTCCTTTCTTAACACATTAGAGCTACACATCAGTACTTCCTAAACTTTTATGTCAACATATCATAGCAAGGGCAAAAGCACTGAAAGCACAGCATTAGTAAACCTGGAACAGAAAGAACAATGAACAAGAACAAATGATGCCCAAGCGTCATTTCAGAGAGATGTCTTTACAATCTTACAAATCTAAGAAAACTCCATCTCTAACTCCACTTTTTTTTTTTTAATGTGTATGACTGTATTGCCTGCATGTATGTAGGTGCACCTGTGTCATGCAATGCCTGTGGAGGTCAGAAGAGGGCACTGAATTCTCCTGGAACGGGAATCGAAGCCAGTTGTTAGCCACCATGTGGGTGCTGGAAACTGGAAGAGTAGCCAGCGCTCTTAACTGCTGAGCCATCTCTCCAGCAAACCCCCCCTCGCCCCACCCCCGAACTCCACTATATGCTTCATCATGTGGCTCAGCACCCCAGTTTGAGAATATCAAGCTGTGCATTCAGTTTCCCAGGAACTGCTCCACATTATACAAGCAGTTCTTGACTGAAGGGCACTGGCTCCAAAATCATAGGGAATTCAAATGTACAGAACTAAGAGATTTTTGGTCTCGCCAGAGAATAGAAAACTGTGAAAAACAAAACCCAAACCCGTTCTTCCATGTCAACAAGGGGCACTGACAAGCGTTTAGCCCTCACAGTAATGGCTAAGTGACAGGGGTACCGGAGCCTAACGCGTCTCTGCACTAGGTTTCATAGGCGAGCTTTCTTCCAGGTGGAAACTGGTGCCCAACCAGAGCAGTCGGAAAAGGGGTGCAAACATTCAGGTGAGCAGGTGGGAAGATCAAAGACGGGACTCAGGATACTAATGACAGTTTTCAGAGGGACTGTGACGTCACTACATTCCACTCCTCAGTAACAACGCCTGGGTCGCGGATCCGAGAGCACAGGGCCAGGACCCAGGTCCTGGAAGGCAGTCCAGGGAGGTCCGGTTTAGGGCGTCCGGAGCTGAGGAACTAGAGCTGGGACCCCCGAGAGTCACTGGCCAAAGTCACCCAGGGGCGACTGAGGGCGGGGGCCTGGTGGCTGAGGGGGCGGGGCTGGCTGGAAAGACTTTGCTTGGGGAGCCCAGGGCACCGAGGGGGCTCGTCCCGGGAGCCTGGGGAGGGACTCCGACTCTCGCCAGGCTCCCGGCGTCGGGAGGAGCTCGGGCTGGGTCGAGGGGCCGTGACCCGGCGCGCTTTACCTTTTTCTTGGCCGCAGCCAATTTGCTCTGCCTGGTTTCTTCCGACATCCCGGGGCGGGGAGAGGGAAAGCGGGGGGGCCACATCACCACGATCCCGACAGCCACCGCGGAACTGCTTCCGGCAGCTCCAGTGCCTTCGTGTGTGCCAGAGAAGGCGGGGCGGGGGCGGCACGAGGCGGGCCCGAACGGGGACGTGGCCAAAGGCCTCCAAGCTCATTGGCTGGTGAGGAAGCTGAAGGACAAGGGGGCGTGGCCACGCGGCCCTGAGCCTGGAGCGACGGGAGGAGCGAAAGCCGAAAGCTGCGCGCGCAGCCCTGACCCCGCTCGGGAGCCAATCGGAACAAAGAGGCGGGGCAGGCCCCGCTGGCTGCGCGCGCAGCCCATACCGATCGGCAACCAATCAGAAAGCGGGACGGGGGCTTCGTTGGCTGGGTGCACGCGCAGCTTGACGTGGGCCAGCCGTTGGTCTCCATCGCTGATTTCTAGCTCTCTGACGAAGCTGAGGCCCCAGCCCTGGACCCTCCGGCGCAGCAGACACCCCCGGCCCGGGGACCTCGGACCCCGGGGCTCAGGAGGTGGGCGTGGAGCAGACAGCGCGTCCCTTTCCTGCCCATCCCCTGACTCCTCACGCCCTTCCCCATAGTCCCTCCCGCCAGGCACCTCACCACTCGCGCCTCAGGCACCCCACCACCCGTGCTGCACACGGTTCCCTTGCCACATGGGAGCCTCTTTCCTCTTCCAAGGCCCGTGCCCCATCCCAATAGCGTATCGGGATCCGGCCTCAGCCTCTTTCCCAGCTGCTGCTCCCGCACCCCCTCGGTAGCCGGATCCTCTGGGAGCGGCTCCTGGTGCAATCAGCCCTTCCCTTCGGATTCCTCCCCAGGACTGAGCCGGGACAGAACCGAAGGTGCCATGGGGCCTTCCGATCTCCCGTGAGTATGACTGCCCCGCCCACCCTCCTCGGCCACCCACCCTTCTCTGCCTTGTTCCAGCTGCCTTGCCTTGCCTTGCCTTGCCTCCCCTCCCCTTCCTCCCCTCCCTCAACGTTGCGGTCTTGCCCTCCTACCCCTCCCCTGCAGAATCAATCCTAGGCTTCTGCCTCCTGCTTACCCAACCTTGCCTTTAGTCCTGCCCACAACATTCCTAACCCAGAAACCTTTCTCCTACCCCAAAGCGTCCTTGATCTCTCATCTCCAAAGATGGGTTTTCCAATACTACTGAATTAGATCACGAAAGACTTGTTTTTCTCTTTTCATTTCTTCCTTCTTTTGTTTATTTTTTGTTGTTTCTTTTCTTTTTTTAAACAGTCTCAGGTATTCCAGGCTGGTTCCAAACTCACTCTGTAGACAAGTGATTCCCATCCTTCACACACACACACTTTTTTTTTGGTTTGGTCTTTTGGAGACAGGGTCTCCCTGTAGCTCCAACTGGCCTGGAACTCACTAGGTAGACCAGGCTGGCCTTGAACTCACTGAGATCTGCCTGCCTCTGCCTCCTGAGTTCTGGGATTAAAGGCATGCGCCAGCACACCCTGCTCACACTTTTTTTAAAAGCAAGGTCTCATTATGTAGGCCAGGCTGGCCTCAAACTCTACATCTTCCTGCCTTAGCGACTCCCAAATGCTGGGAAAGCAGGATAGAATGACGAGCTAAATAATGATGGCATAGGGAGAAAAAGAAGCCCCCCCCCCAACTTGAGAGTCAAGGATTCCAATACAATTAGCATTTGCTTTAAAGATTGCCAAGATAGGACTAAAGAGATGGCTCAGCGGTTAAGAGCACTGACTACTCTTGCAAAGGACCAGAGTTCGATTCCCAGCACTTACATGGCAGCTATCAAACTCTGTAACTCCAATTTTAGGGAATGGGCACCCTCTTCTGACCTCTGCAGACATTGCCTGACAGGGGTGCACTTACACACATGGAGGAAACATGCACATAAAATAATAAAGCTGGGTGTGGTGGCGCACGCCTTTAATCCCAGCACTCCAGAGGCAGAGGCAGGCATATCTCTGTGAGTTCAAGGCCAGCCTGGTCTACATAGTGAGTTCCAGGACAGCTGAGGCTACAGGGAGACCCTGTCTCAAAAAGACAAAATAAAAATAAAATAAATATAATAAAATATAAAAAAAAGATTGCCAACATAGCAACAAGATTTATTTTATTTTATTTTATTTTATTTTAGTCTTTTTGAGACAGTCTCCCTGTAGCCCCGGCTGGCCTGGAGCTCACTTTATAGACCAGGCTGGCCTTGAACTCACAGAGATCCACCTGCCTCTGCCTCCAAGTGCTGGGACTAAAGGCGTGCACCACCACACCTGGCTAAGATTTATTAATGACCATTTTTTGGTGTATGCTTATATGTATGTGTATGTGTGGGCACCTGCCTGTCAAAGAATGCATGAGGAGTCAGAGGACAATTTCCAGGAGTCAGTCCCCTACTGTTCTTTTTTAAATTTTTTTCTTTATTATTATTTCATGTTGTGTGTGTATTGCCTGCATGTAAGTGCACCCATGTCGTGCAATGCCCACGGAGGTCAGAAGAGGCTGTCGGATCCCCTGGGACTGGAGTTACAGACAGTTGTTAGCTGCCATGTCCGTGCTGGGATTCGAATCCAGGTCTTCTGTAAGAACAATCAGTGTTCTTAACCACTGCACCATCTCTCCAGCCCCCCTACTGTTCTTCAATATGATTTTTTTTTTTTTTTTTTTTGAGACAGGGTCTCCCTGTAGCCCCAGCTGTCCTGGAACTCACTATGTAGACCAGGCTGGCCTTGAACTCACAGAGATCCGCCTGCCTCTGCCTCCCAAGTGCTAGGATTAAAGGTGTGCACCACCATGCCCAGCAAATATGTTTTTTTTTTAATTTTTAATTTTATCTATATAAGTGTTAAGCCTGCATGTGTGTAAGTGCACCTATGTTGTGCAGTGCCCAAGGAAGACAGAAGAGGGTGTTGGATCCCCTGGAACTGGAGTTGTTAGCTGCCATGTGGGTGTGGGATTTGAACCTTGGTCTTCTGCAAGAACAGCCAGTACTCTTAACCACTGAGCTGTCTCGCCAGCCCCTGTTCTTAAATGTTAAAAATATCTTTTAAGGCTGATGGTGGTGGCACACGCCTTTAGTCCCAGCACTTGAGAGGCAGAGGCAGGCAGATCTCTGTGCATTCAAGGCCAGCCTGATCTACATAGTTCTAGGCCAGCTGGGCTATAGGGAGACCCTGTCACAAAACAAACAAAAGAACGTCTTGTCTTTTTGGTTGTGAGCCTGAGCCTTGAATGACTGCACCAGCTTCCCAGCCCCATACCTTTTAATATACTCACAACTCTACTTCCTACTGGCTGGTCCTGAACTTCTTTCCTCTGGCAAAGCCAAGGATCCAGCTTTACAGGGGATATCTCTGAAAAGAACTCCTCAGGTTGCTGGAGGTATGCTTGTACCTTTGCCACTGATAGGCTCACAGGGGTGTGGTTCCCCTCCCCCCCCCCCACTGCATTAGACACTGGGATGGAAGTATGTGCCAAGCAGCCCCTGTCCCTCCTGCCTGCCTCTTAATGTGTTTGGATATGCTATGCCCTCTGTCTGACATGCTTTATTAGAACTGTTTGCCAAACTGACAGGTACTCATCCTCTGAAGTTCAGCTTCCTTCAGCAGCCTTACCCTGCTTCTGGCTGTCAATTGCAGAGTGTTCCTCAGAGTACTTTTTAGACTTATAATTAATTACTGATCATTAACCCCTTCATTGATGAACTCCTGGGTACTGAGTACCCTGCTGTATCAGCAATAGACAATGGAGTCCTTTCCCTCATGGAACGGACCAGGATAACTGGTGTGAAAAAGATAGTGAAATCTACAATACATCAAGTGATGAGAAATTAGGTCAATACAGGACTGCTTGGGAGATGGCTCTGTGGATAAAGTGCTTACAGGAAAGCATGAGGACCTGAGTTCACTGCCTAGCACGCATGTAAAATCTGGGCGAAGCCACACACACATGCATGTAATCCCAGCCTTGGGAAGCAGAGTCAGGAGGGTCCCTAAGGTTTGCTGGCCAGCTAGTCTAGCTGAATGAGCGAGTTCTAGGTTTGTGAGAGACCCTATCTCAAAAATAAGGTAGAGCTGGGTGTAGTGGCACATGCCTTTAATCCCAGCACTCTGGAGGCAAGGGCAGGTGGATCTCTGTGAGTTCAAAGCCAGCCTGGTCTACATAGCAAGTTCCAGGCCAGCTGGGGCTAAAGGGAGACCCTGTCTCAAAAAGACCAAAAAAATTTTTAAAAGGTGGAGAGCAAGTCACCTCTGGCCTCCACGTGCACACATGCAGGCACACACAAATGTGCACATGCACAGGACGTTCGGACAGGGATAGTGGACAACAGGGATCCCCACAGGTCAGTCTGGGAAGGTGTTTCTGATGGCATGAGTAGAGCTTTAAATGGAGCTGTCTGCAGTGGGGATCTAATTGCTGGGGTATTTCCTCTTGAAAAGATTTTTTTTTTAATTACATTTATTGGGTGAGAGGCACCATTGCATGCATGGAAGTCAGGACAATTTCACAAGTCAGTTCTCTCCTTCCACAATGTAGGTCCCAGGGATGGAACTCAGGTTGTTAGGTTTAGTAGCAAGTGCCCTTTTCCTGCTAAGCCATCTCACTGGCTTTTTTTTTTTTTTTAATTGTGTATGTGTGTATATGCGTATATGGGGAGCAGGGGTTATGTGCACTTAAGTGCAGGTGCCTGGTACCCGAGGAAGCCAGACGGATCAGATCCCCCAGGAGCCAGAGTTGCAGACAGTTTTGAGCCACCTGATGTGGTTGCTGGAAATTGAGCTCTGGCTCTGGAAGAGTAGTAGGTGCTCTTAATCACTGAGCCATCTGTCCAGTCTTGGCCTTTTTTAAGCAAACATTTTAAATTGTGTGTGTGTGTGTGTGTGTGTGTGTGTGTGTGTGTACAGGTATATTTAGTGTGGAGCTCAAGAGGACAATTTGGGGAAGTTCTGTGTGTGTGTGTACAGGTATATTTAGTGTGGAGCTTCAGAGGACAATTTGGGGGGGTTCTGTGTGTGTGTGTGTGTGTGTGTGTGTGTGTGTGTGACATGCAGGGGTTAATGATTGATATGGGGTTCTGTGTGTGTGTGTGTGTGTGTGTGTGTGAGACAGGGGGGGGTTATTGATTGGTGTGTGTGTGTGTGTGTGTGTGTGTGTGTGTGCGTGTGTTTATATACAAGCAATAGTTGACAACTTGCAGGAATCAGTTCTTTCTTTCTACCACGTGCAATTTGGGGGAGTTCTCTGTGTGTGTGTGTGTGTGTGTGTGTGTGTGTGTACAGGTGTATTTAGTGTGGAGCTCAGAGGAAAATTTGGGGGAGTTCTGTCCTTCCACCATAGGTTCTGGGGATGACACTTAGGTTGTCAGTCTTGTACAACAAGAGCTTTTACTGGCTGAGCCATCTCACCGGCCCTTCACTTTAGGCCCTGGCTAACCTAAATGTAGAAGCCTGGCAACATTTGTTTTTTTTTTCCCTGGGCCTCTTGCCAGTGCTCGCAGACAGTGTTCACTCACTACTGCAGAGTGATTGGTCACAAGCCAGAAACCCAAGAACATGAACCATCATTTTCCTCTGTTTTCTTGTTAGGCAGTTCATCCAACACTCATTTCCTGAGGATAAACTGAGTACTAGACACCGGCCTTCACAGGTTCGAGGCAGAAAGGGAGAAGATGAAGTGTAACCTCGGAACATTTTGTTATCCAGTGAGCTTATAAACCCAGTGATGTTGAAAACCTGGGGCAGATTCTCTGGGGTCAGACTGCAGGCCAAGGTGGCCAGCCTTGTCTACAAAGTGAATTCTAGGCCTCCCAGAGTGAATTCTAGGGCTGCATAGTGAGAGCCTGTCTTGCCTCAGCCTCCACAAGGCTGTTTTGTCATCTAAGATTGCTGGTCTATGCCAGCTATGTCAACATTGTAGGCAGAGAAAGACCAAGGTAGAAAGGCCAGGAGTGGGTAGGCATGTGCTCTGTGGAAGGATACTTCCCAGACTTTGCACACTCACTTCCGATGAAGTTCTGATGAAGTTCCACATGCTATAATTTAGCCTTAGGGACACACCTAATTCCAAGGAAAGCTTAGAATATTCTGAGGGTTGGGGCCTGTTACCAAGCAAAAGTGGGAAGCGCCATCAGGGACATCACATACTCTGCATTGTGGATAACGGCTCAGCTGGTGATTTTCTTCTGTCACCCAGCGGCCATCTCCCAAGTCTGAACAGGCTGATGGGGCCAGTGAGGAGCCCTTGAATGTTTCCATTCAGAAACTGAAGGAGAGGCGGGACATGCTGGACAGTGAGATTGCCCGCTTAATGTCTGCGTAAGTCTTCTGTGTTTATATGTTTTGTTTTGTTGAGATGTCTCTTATAGCCCAGGCTAGCCTTGAACTTGCTATGTAGCTGAGGATGACCTTGAATTCCTGATCCTTCTGGCTCTATCTCCTAAGTATGGGATTACAGGCGTGGGCAACAACATGTTTTGTTTTGTTTTGTTTTGTTTGTCTCTTTGAGACAGGGTCTCCCTGTAGCCCCAGCTGTCCTGGAACTCACTATGTAGACCAGGCTGGCCTTGAACTCACAGAGATCTACCTGCCTCTGCCTCCCAAGTGGGACTACAGGCAAGCGCCACCACGCCCGGCACAACATGTTTTTTTTTTTTAAGCAAGTCTTGTTGGCTCCCCTATGTAGTTAAGAGAACTTTGGAGCTATGGGTGTTTCTTAGCAGTAGAGTGCTTGCCTCACATGCACAAAGCCCTGGATTCCATCCTAAGCACTAAAGACGGGGAGGGTGGAGATGGAGCTTGGAATAGTGTTTACCCAGCATACAAAAAGCCTTGGGATTAATTCCAAGACACAGTTTTTTTTCAACATTTTATTAAAGTTTTGTGTATTTCATATAATACATCTTAATTATATTTAGACCCCCCCTCCCCTACCTGTACCCCCCCACCGGATTTCATGCATTCTGTAGTGCATAGTAACTGAAACTCAGCTGCACTATTTTGGCATAGAAAAGCTGTCTGCCATTGAAACCTGAGTGTCTTAGCAGCCTCTTCAGGAGGCCAGGTTGGGGCAGTCCTGGAATCAAAGATCTAGAAAGCTATCAAGAGTGGAGACTAGCTGTTTTGGTCTCTCTCTGGAGTTACATTCTAGGCTTTGCGGGCTGCACACAGATCCCTTCTCTGTGGCATTTCGGTGCCCAGGGGAAGCTGGCTCTTCATAACTCCTGGGCTTCCTCATACCCTTCACTTCAGCCTCATGGCAGAGGCAGAGGTGAACTGGGATGTATATTTCACATGAGGGAATCTGCCTGGTAACCAGGGTCACTATTACCCATGTGACTAAAGACCCCTCCCTAGGGGACAGGATGTTTGCTAGGACTGAGGATGGATAGCTTCCCTACCCTACTTGTAAGCTTTAGGAAGGTAGGAACTGTCCTGTCCCCAGCCCCTAGTGCCTAGTAAGCCTGCAGTGAACATTGGCTAAACACATGCCTCACTGCCATTGCCATCTGAGCCAGGGACCTCATGATCTTACTAATAATGCTGTCTCTCTGCTGCTCTTCCCAGGGGCTACAATGTGAGGGAACTGGAGGGCCACATCACCCTGCTGCACGAATACAACGACATCAAGGATGTAGGGCAGATGCTGCTGGGCAGGCTGGGTGAGCAGCAGGCTTCCAGACGAGCCTCAAGGGATCCAAGGGTGGTTTCTCCCCTCCTGGGGATGTTGGGTTTTACTCCTGGATCCCCTAACTTGCCAGTGGTCCCAGGCTTCTCAGCTGCTCCACTCCTAGAATACCTGAGCCCCTTCTCATGAGGCACCCTCACCCCCCTAGCCACCCAGCAAAGCAGCTGCAGAGCTCTTTAGTCCTGGAGATCTCTCAAGCACAGGGCCTGCTTTGGAGCAAGTTAGAACAGGACTTACCCACCTGCCAGATTGGACTAAGGGCCCCTGTTCTACCGTGGCCTGCAGGGACATTGAGCTATCATCTATGCCTCCAGTGGCCAGCTCGCTAAAGGGATAGCTGGGTAAAGTAGCTCACCTCGGAGGGTAAGATGTGTGTAGATGGTCTTATACAGCTCAGTAGTCCCTTCCACTGGCCCATACTGGTGCTCTTGATGCTCTGCAGCCAATGAGATAGTATTGAGAGATGGGCTGTCAACCCAGTTTCTGCCTAAATTTTAGTACTTGCTACAGAAATCTCCATCAGCAGCCAAGATTCCACAGCCCAGAGAGGTGAGGAAGAAAGCAGGAGAGAAATGTGGGTGTTTAACAGGATAGCAATCAGGACCCAGGAAGAAATGATGTGGGATGAGTGTCGTGGTTCATGTCTGTAATCCCAGTACTTTGGAAACTGAGGCAAGAGGATTACAAATCCAAGGCCAGCCTGGGCTACATAGTGAGACTTAATCTCAGCAACAACACAAAGTGTTGGAACCCAGCTGGAGACCTGTCACTTTTAGGTCATGTGACTTGCAGCGTGTATACAGCCTGTCCCTTTTCTGTCTGTCCAGTGAATATTTATTGGACACCTATTCTGTTCCAGGTGCTCTGTGGTGGTGGGGACAGTGGAGAGGCAGACACTTGAAGTTCTGTTCTTCTGTGGCTGAGAGTGGGCAATGAATGAACAGAAATGACTGTGTGCCAAATGCCATGAGGGAAAGTGGAGATGGGGAGAATGCTGAGGTCTGAAGGTGGCAGGAGCAGGAGGAAGCAAGAGAGGGTGCCAAGAGCAGGCCTCCCAGGGGAGTTCCCGGTGGGGGAGAGGGTGAGTGTCCAGCAGAGCTGCAGGAAGAGCAGGTCACGTGGGCTGCCACCATGCTTAAATGCTGGGTTGGGGTAGGGTAGCCAGGCTGAACCCCCAGGGACCAGGCTTGGAAGGAGAAATGGAGATGACCTTGCCAGTTAGGTGAGGTGTGAGTCTGGGTGTGTTCTGGGCCGGTCCAGGCAGTGACTTTAGATTAGGTTTGGCTATCCCCCTCCCACTTGTCTCCACCAGACAGTAATCCTCTATTCTTTCCTTTCAGCTGTGATCCGAGGTGTCACCTCCAAGGAGCTGTATCCAGAATTTGGTCTAGACATGGATGACTAAACCAAGTCTTGCAGACTTTTGTCCAGGACCCACAAGGTCAGGCCAATGGGGACATGAGAAGCAGAGTCCTGCGACCACACTTACATGATTTCCAGAGAGAATGTTAGAAGCCCAAAGTTTTCTAAGAACCCAAGCTATGATGGGGATGGATACTAAAGGGGTGGAGGGAGGGGTATTCCCAGTCCCCAGGGTCCTAAGTGTCCCTGTGGTACTGTGAATGGGCTATGTATCTGCTTTGTTAATAAACACTTGAGTAATCTCTTATGAGTCTGGCCCTTGTCTGCCAGCCCCATCATGCCCACTGTAGGTCACTACAGGCTCATGAGTGTATGTATCTATGAGAGTTAATACTGCTGTCCCAGCTTACAAGTGGAGCGATCAAGACTTAAGAGAGGCAGGGGACTTCCCAGGGTCACACAGCAATAAGTGGTAGGGTGGGGATGTGAGCTCAAAACTGCTTTGCAATGCTGACTTTCCGGGTTGGGAAGGAACAGGTAAAGGCTAGGAGGGAGAAATGACAGCATATTAGAGTCTGGTTCTCTGTCAGGGCACTAAGGTTCTTTTTTATGAGTATTCTAAGTGGGTTTTTTTGGCAGGGGGTCTTTTTGAGACAGGGTCTCCCTTTAACCATAACTGGCCTGGAACTCGCCATGTAGACCAGGCTGGCCTTGAACTCACCGAGATCCGCCTGCTTTTGCCTCCTGAGTGCTGGAACCAAAGGTGACACCACACCCAGTGCTTTGCTTTTTTAACTTTTTTTTTTTTTTTTTTTTTTAATGTGTATGCGTGTATTGCCTGCATGCAGGTAAGTACACCCATGTCATGCAATGCCCATGGAGGTCAGAAGAGGATGTCGGATCCCCTGCGATTAGTTACGGACAGTTGTTAGCTGCCATGTGGGTGCTGGGATTCGAATCTGGGTCTTCTGCAAGAACAGCCAGTGTTCTTAACCACTGAGCCATCTCTCCAGCCCTTGCTTTGCTTTTTTAAACAAGTAATTATACATAGATCCCTTAACAAGGAATTTGAGAAGAAAGCACTAAAAATAGACAAAAAAAAACCTTCAAGAAATGTCTACATTTCTACCAGGCATGGTGGCACATAGGACTGCCTCAAAAAACACCACCAAAACTACTAACGAAAATATACACAGAAAAGCCAGGCATGGTGGTGCACACCTTTAATCCCAGCACTTGGGAGGCAGAAGCAGGCAGATCTCTGAATTCAAGGTCAGTCTGGTCTATATAGCGAGTTCCAAGCCAACGTGAGCTAAATTATATATAATATAATATATATATATACACACATATACATTTATATGCACACACAGGAGAAAAAAATGTTTGAAATACTGTCAAGAGGATGGCCGGGCGTGAGCTGGAGGCCAGCCTGATCTATATAGCTAGTTCCAGGCCAGCTTGGGGCTACAGGGAGACCCTGCCTCAGAAAGACTAAGGGGCTGGAGAGATGGTTCACGGGTTAAGAGCACTGACTGCTCTTGCAGAGGACCTGGGTTTGATTCCCAGCACCTATATGGCAGCTACAAACTGTCCTTAACTCCAGTTCCATGGGAATCCAAAGCCCTCTTCTGACCTCCGCAGCATTGCACAACACAGGTGCACTCACATACATGCAGGCAATACACTCATAACATAAAATAAAAATATTTTTTTTAATCTTTTTTTTTTTTGTCTTTTTTTGAGACAGAGTCTCCTTGTAGCCCCAGCTGTCCTGGAACTCACTATGTAGACCGACCAGGCTGGTCTCGAACTCAGAAATACCTGCCTGTCTCTGCCTCCCAAATGCTGGGATTAAAGGCGTGCGCCACCACGCCCAGCTTTTTAAATTTTTTTAAAAACAAAAAAAGTTTAAAAAGGATCAATTTAAATAAAATAGGTTTTTATAAAGAACACAAAGGTTATGTTCAATTAAAAAGTTAGCTTGCCCAACTTGCAGGTCATCAGAGCAATTAACATGACTACAACAGGCATAAAGTAAGTTTAAAGTCTCACAGTGCTGCCGGTTGTGATGGCACCTGCTGGTAAGATGTGCTAGAGAGGCAAGAGAGGCAGGAGATCATGAGTTTGAGGCCAACCTGAGCTACACCTTAAAAAACAAATCTCCCAGTGTTGATGACACATGCCTGTAATCCCGGCATACTGGAGCCTGAGGCAGGAGGTTAGCTGCCAGTTCAGGCTAGCCTGAGCTACAGAGAGACAAAACCCCTACAATAATAGTGGGACACACTTGTCCCAGTGGTTGGGAAGTGGAGGCAGAAGGATCAAAAGTGTTCAAGGCCATCCTGGGCTATATGAGACCAACTCAGAAGAAGGAAAAAGAAAACTGCATTTATGTAACTCTAGCAGATTGGGGAGTCAGCACAACAAAAGGAAGAATTACTCAGCAGGACACCCTGGAGTCTGGCACTGTGGGGTCTCTGGGTGGCCCTCTAGATTCAGAACCATCTGGTACCTGGTTTGTCCCTGTCTGCATGCCATTTGTACCTTGTACCTGGATGACATGGAGAGAGTCTCTGGAAGACTTCCAGGATTGAAGGGAACCCAGGGAAGACACAAGATCTGGCCACAGCTCAGGGACGGCCCCCTGGACCCTTCACCCCAGGCCATAGCAGCTGGGGTCATTGGCAGGAACTCCCGGGGGCTGTTGGATGGAGCCCACTGCTCACCTTCTGCTTACCTGGGGAGGAACATTTTGTAGAGTTCTCTTGGTCGTAAGCTGGAAAGGAGGATTGTCAGTCAAGCCACAGTAACTGAGGCACCCAGGGTGCCCAGGACTCCTGGAACTTAACAAACCACTTCCAAACTTGGTTCTCCTTCAGGTTGAGTTGAGCAACTAGAACCACACAAGCTCAAGGACATGCATATACATGTAAAAAATACTAAATTTATGAGTTTCAGATGATATCTGAAAGTTTTTTTGTTTTGTTTTTTGTCTTTTGAGACAGGGTCTCCCTGCAGCCCCAGCTGCCCTGGAACTCACTCTGTAGACCAGGCTGGCCTCAAACTCAGATTTGCCTGCCTCTGCCTCCCAAGTGCTGGGATTAAAGGCATGCACCACCACACCCAACTTCTGAAACCCCATTTTTTTTTTGGTCTTTTTGAGACAGGGTCCTCCTGTAGCCCCAGCTGGCCTGGATTCGATATGGAGACCAGACTGGCCTCGAACTCCCAGAGATCTGCCTGCCTCTGCCTCCCGAGTGCTAGGATTAAAGGTGTGCACCACCACACCTGGCATGAAACCTTTTTAAAAAGGTTTTTCTGTCAGAAACTCCAGTTCCAGGGGATCCGACAGCCTCTTTTGACCTCCGAGGGCACTGCACAACATGGGTGCACTTACCTACATGCAGGCACTACACACATACACATAAAATAAAAAATAATAAAACATTGAGACACCTGGGAAACCTGGAGGAAAGAGACATGGACGTCCGTATCGTCCAAGTCAGGCAGACAAGAATGCAGGAGAGTCACAGGTGGAGAAACAGCATGTATAGGGACAGAACGTGGTAGCCCCAGGGCACAGGACTTCAGTTTGGTTGAAAAGTGATTGGGGGGTGTTGGGTTTGGGGGGGTGGAGAGATGACTTGGGTTAAGAGCAGTTGCAGTTCTTGCATAAGACCCTGTTTTGGTTCCCAGCACCTACATGGCAGCAAACAACCACTTGTAACTCCAGTTCCAGGGGCTCTGACACCCTCTTTTTGGCCTCTGCAGGCACTGCACGAATGTGGTACACTTACATACATGCAGGCAAGACACTCATACACATAAAATACAACTAAAATAATTCTTTTACGTGATTGGGTTTGGTGACAGGCAGGCCGACTCACTTGGGCCCTTGTAAAGAGAGAGGCTCACCCAGTTGCATGCTAACCAGACTGCCCTTGCATGAGTCCTAAGTACTGGAGAAGGGCGCAGGAAGGAAAGCATCTGACTTTCAGTTCTGTGGAAGAGCTGCTCTCCTATGTGCCACGGCAGGCATCAACCTCTGGGAGCCAGTGTCCACTCAAAGATTTGCTGTAATCCTCCCCCACTCCCTTTATATGTCTTTTTTTTCTTGATGTGGTACTGGGGATTGAACCCAGGGCCTCGGGCAAGCTACTAGGCAAGCCCGATACCACTGAGCTATATCCCCAACCCAGCAGCCACCCTCTTAAGGACCTCTCTGGGAAGATGCATCCCATTAGGCCACTGACCACAGGGTAGATCATCAGAACATTCCACTTACAGAAGAGGATTCCTTTGCAGCAGCCCTCCTCTGAGGTGTCTGAAGACATGAGTAACAGGAGGGAAGGAGCCACCTGGTGATGTGGGTTTCTCAGGGTGTGTCCTAATGGGGCTGGAAAACAGGTGTTTGACTAACAAGGCTGTCAAACAAGCTGGCCAGGTGCTGCATAGATTGTGATTATATCCAGTGTAAATCCTACTGGAAGGTATTTGTCTGAGAGCCAGGCATAGTAGCTCACACCTGTAATCTCAGCACTCAGGAGGCTGGGGCAGGAAGTTCCAGAGTTCAAAGCCAGTCTGGGCTACACAGTAATACTCTGAAATAAATATTTATCTAAGTTAAACCTAAAGAGGCTGAGGTAGGAGGATCACTTCAGGAGTTCAAGCCCAGCCTGGGGAGCACTTTAATACCTGTGCTAAAACTTAAAAATTGCTTCTTGCTGAATGCACCCACATGGTGTTAAGGCACTTTGTGGAGGTTGGCCAGCGGGCCTATGTCTCCTTTGGGCCTCATGCTGGTTGAGATTGTAGATGTTATTGATCCAAACAGGGCCTTGGTTGATGGATCTTGCCCTTGGGTGATAAGATAGGCTGATTATGCCTTTCAAGTGCATGCAACTCACTGATATCCTCAAGTTCTCACACCGCTCACCAGAAATGTGTACAAAAAGCCAGGGAGAAGGCAGATAACACCAAATGAGCAGCCATAAGACCAGCCAAGAAGATAAACGTCAGAGAAAGGAAAGCAAGATGACAGATTTTGATTGTTTCAAAGTCAAGAAGGCAAAGAAAAGCAGGAACAGAGTAATCAAGAACAAAGTTAAGAAACTCAAAAAGAGTGGCTGTGGTGAAGCCGGCTCAGAAAAGCACTGGTTGCTAAGACTGTCCTTGTGGCTGCAGCCGCTGTTGCCAAAGCTAAAGTTCCAATCAAAAAGGCAACAGGCAAAGAGCTGCGGCCTAGAAGGCCCCAGGCCAGAGGCAACACCTCCCAAGTCTCAGGCCCCAAGGCTCTAAAGACAG